GTGCACCATCATTACCTGAGGGCTTGTCAAAACGCAGAATCTTGGGCCCTTTTCCTGGAGTTTCTCATGCACTATGCCTGGGTCAGGCGTCTCGTCCCAGCTCACAGGTGATGGAGATAATGCTAGGGCTGGGAGGACACTTGGTGGTACTGTGTCACTCTGCTCCACCCCATCCAAGTTGCATTGAGTTGGTGCCAGCAAAAAAAAATGTGTTTCCTGTGGAGGGGAAGGACTTTACTTACGCACTGTCGCAAAACCCATTGTAAATGGGGGTGTATCACATTCAGTATTCTGTGCAACTTCAGGGAGAAAATCTTGTGGCTGTTGAGTGGTACGGGTTTGTAGGTTAAATTCAGGGTCATGACATTTTAATTGCAATCTTCTTTGCAATCGTTTATGAAAACTCTTCTACCTTCTCTGCCATTACCTATAGAGTAGAAGATCTAATGTCATCTGAAAAGGGTGACAAAACCATTTATTAATTAAAGCTGAAAATTCTCTAAGAGTATGTCTCATTTACTTATCTTCTCACTTGGGATAGCATGTGTTTATCTTTTACTTTCAAGTAATGTATGATTATAGTGTGATTTACATTTCTAGGCTTAAGTAATAGGAGAGGATTAGTCTGTTTAAAAGATTGTACCCACACCCTTGACCTGTCAAGTTCTGCCTGTGTTTGTCTCTTACTTCTAACCAATGGTAACCACTAATCTGTTCTCTATCCCCATAATTATGTTATTTCATGAATGTTATGTAAATGGAATAGTGCAGTCTGTACCCTTTTGAGACTGGCTTTGGAAGCAGCATAATTTCCTTGAGGTTGTGTGCATCAGTCCTTTATTCCATTTTATTGCTGAGAAATACTCTATGCTGTCAGTGTACCACAATTTTTTGTATCATTCACTGAAAGAAGGACATCTTGGCAGTCTCTAGTTTGGAGCTGTTACTGATAAAAATCATTGTGCATGTTTGTAGACAAGTTTCTATGTGAAAATTAGTTTTCATTTCTCTGCGATACATCCCCAAGGGTACAACTCCTGGGTCATATGGTGAGTCCATTTTCACTTGGAAAAGGAGCTGTCAAAGATTTTGCTAAGTGACTTGCACCATTTCACTTTCCTACCAGCAGGGTATGAAGAGTTCTCATTCTCCATGTCCTCGTCAGCACTTGTTCTCATCTTTCGAGTATTAGCACCAGGATGGGTGAAAAGTGGTATCTCATTGTGGTTTTGATTTGCATTTCTCTAGTAACTGTGATGTTGAGTATCTTTCCATGTGCTTACTGACCCTTGGTGTGGTTTCTTTGGAAAGATGTAAATTCAGATCCTTAGCCCATTTTTAAAATCAGTGTTTCTTTTTATTGTTGATCAGAAGAGTTCTTTACATATTCTAGATAAGAATCCCTTATCAGATGTTTGGCTTACAGGTATCTCCCTTTTTTGGTGGGTTACCTTTTTCACCTTGCTTACAGGAGTTCAGGGGAACCCAAGACAGAGCTCCTAAAGGTAGAGCTGGTAGCAAGTGTACTAGAACCCATGATGGGTTGGATGCCACAGACAATTCTGGCCTAATTTGGGCAGATTTTCTCAAATGAACGATCCTGTATTTGTCATTAGAAACTTAGGACAGTTTCCAGAGACTCTTAAGTAAAATGGTTTTTATAATTTTTTGTAATCAGTTTGTTGTTTTGCTGGGAAGAGTGTCCACAGTTATTTATGTGGCATTCTAAAAAGCTAGTTATAATCTCCTCTTGTGATACACATACCTCCCAGGAGATGGTCCATCCTATTTACACTCAGTTGTCAGTTGACTCTTTGGTAGATCCTGCAACTAGAGAAGACCTCTGTGGGAATGGAACAATGTCTGAAGGAGTGTTTCTTGAAAGAACATAAGGTATAATCAAAATATACAGTGAATATTTATTTATTTATTTATTTATTTATTTTTTTTTTGGATTTTCTCCGGTACCGGGAACCAAACTCACGACCTTGCGCTTGCCAGGCAGGCGCTTTGCCACTGAGCTAAATCCCCAGCCCCTACAGTGAATATTTAAATTCAAGGTTTATTACAGTAAAAGACATGTTGACATCAATCTTCATCAAAATACTTCCTCCTCCTTTGGAATGTGCTTACTCTATTGCTCTTGTCACTTTCTGAAGAAGTTCTGGACACTCTTTCATGAGTGTCATTAGTAGGTGAGATCACAAATATAGTGATTACTGCAGCCAGTGCCATCCAACCGAAAGGCAGGCTCATAAAACTGTTACAGTGTGCCCTCTTTCACCTAATTATCTGAAATGGGCACCATGTTGTTCTTGCCCCAAATACCCATGAGAGGTAAGCATTTCAAACCAACTCAGGACATCGAGGCAGCCTTGGCGGCACGGCTAAAGACACTCATGAAAGAGGACGTCCGGAACTACTTCCAGAAAGGGCGAGAGTGTGTTCCACAAAGGATAAGTGTGCTTGTTTGAAGTGTGAGGGGAGTATTTTGAGGAAGGTGAAAGGCAATATGTCTTTTACTCTAATACATTTTTAATTTAAACCACGCACCATTATTTTTTTATCAGACCTTGTACGTGAATGGGTTTAAGTACCATGGTGCCTCAGTTCACAAACTGAGCTCTTCCTATGATTCTTTCCATGTCGTGGAATGGATTCTTCAACAAGAATCGAGGAAAGAATGAAGTCTGTGAACCGAGGGGCCACACTATCTAAAGGAGGGAGCGTCACAATGGAGTGAGGGGAGGGAGGGCACTGAACAAATGATCCAGCGGCCGGGAATCATTACCCCTTCAGGAAGAACACACTGCCAGTTCATGGGCTCAAAGGACGTTCCTGTTTCTTACCTGAAGAATATAGCATAAAGACCACAGGAGCGTTAGGATTGAATCTTTATCCGCATAACCCAATTGGCTCTTTTTGCAGTTGAGGAAACTGAACCTGGAGAAGCACTTGTGCTTTGCTCCTGGCCCTTCAGCTCTCTGGCAGGCTCCTACCTTTAAGGGCTGCTCTCTCTGCTCATTATGGGGATGACTGCAAGCTCAGTCTCATCACTCCATGTGCTACCTCAGCAACTAATGCTTCTGCACCCCTGAAAAATCAGCACCCTCGTGTAGCTGTCATTTGAATTTTTCCTATAAGTTTTCTGCCCTTCTCCCTCCGCCCATTCCCTGAAGTAAATTCGGTAACAGGCAACTTTGAAACTTGTTACAGTTCAGAACGCTAATAGGCTTTTACATTTTTAGCAGCCTAATGATGAGGCTGTAGGACCTTGTGTGCTAGACCCTCTGGGGTTGCTATTCTGAGCATCTATTAAACTTGACTAAAATCTGAAGTATATTCAACCTTTCTATATTAAAAAAATCAGTTTAAACTTTACACATAAATGTGCATGTGCACACACTTCCCTCTTCTCTCGGAGGCAGAGACTCAGACATTATGAACATTGGGAATGGAAGATACTTGTCAGTTACCTTTCTGTGTTTGATGAGGAGAGAGAAGTCATGATGACGTAGTATATTTTTATTTAGCAAAATTTGAGCCTTCTTAAAAATCTTGTCTGCTTTGAGGTCTATTTTGCAGTTTAATTAATGCAGCAAGCATTTTTTATTTTACTCTCAATGGAGATAATCTTAATCTATTCACGGTGACCTTTTCTTGTGCAAATTACTTGTACATGCTTGTTTAAGCAAATGGTCCTTTGCATGATGTCTCTTCTTAATGACGGGTTTATAATTGAAAATTGGCTTACTCCCATATGCCTGGTTTGTGTGGGAATATAAAAATAGATATGGACTTTAAAAATATAAATGTATATATCAGTATCCCAAAAAGAGGAGGGAAGAATCCTGTGCCTTCAGGCTATGATTAAATTAGACTATTAGAGTCAGAAAAAGCTGGTGACATATGCTACTGTCAAAGTCACACCTGTCCACGCAGCATAGGAAGCTCTTGAAAAATGAGAGTGATTTCATCTTGGCTGTACAGATCGGAGCCTTCCCAGGGTGTGAGCCATTTCTAGTTTCTCTGCTTTTCTTAAATTCATAATGAACTTGAAACAACATGTTTAGGAATGAGTTTGTGGTAATCACTTCTAAAGTGACAGTCTTAAACAAATTAAATGCCTTGTATCTTTCTTGAACTCCACTAGCATTAGGAGACAGGTGACACTCCTCATGGTATAGTTTTTTTTTGTTGTTTTTTTTTCCCCAAAATCAACAACAGTGTAGTACTATTAAAGGGTACTGAATAACAGAAAAAAATCGTCTCTTCTGTATTCCAGTTTCCTGTATCTTCTGCTATTTTTCTTTCCATCTTGTCATTCCTCTTTTCCCACTTTATAGGCCAGCTTCCTTCTACCTCGCCTCATCTTTTTTCTGTGAGTCAGGTCAGCCATTCTTATCCCGCAGTATTTTGTCTGGGGAAACCGAATGTTCTTGGTTAAACGGAGAAACTCCAGCTTGAAGGAGAAAGCAAGTGTTGTTTTGTGCTTGTGACAGAGGTTTCCCTGCAGTTTTTAATAGCATGGTTTGGAGGGTAGGGAACAAGAATGGTTTCAGTTTTCCTGAAGGCACGGCGTTCAAGGAGAGGGAGAAGAGGACATAGCTGTGATTTGTTGTTGTTGTCATTGCTGTTAAGCCTACAGAAGCCTCATATTTCATCGAGGCATAAAATTCTCATTTGGGAACCGAAGACCAGGCAAGGCAAATTGTTGCTAGGACAATCAGACTTGTCTTTTTATGTACTCTTTGCAAAAGATACCCCAGCTGCGTTATCCACCACAACTGTTCACGTTTGTTCTCTGTCATGCAACAAATCCCCAAACCCTCTCCCCAGACATGGAACAGGGAGAGCTACCCGCTCCCCCAGGGCTCTCTTGCGTTGTTCTGGGTAAATCTATGCGCGAGTGCCCCTGCAGGGCTTGGCCACCCTATTGCACGCCACCAGTATCCTGCCCACTGGGCCTTGTTTGCTGATGGCTCTTCCTCTCTTCCTAGGTATGATTATCGGGAAATGCTGCACAATGCCACTTTCTGTCTGGTTCCTCGTGGTCGCAGGCTGGGGTCCTTCAGATTCCTGGAGGCTTTGCAGGTAAGAGACCCGGAAACCTCCCCAGAGTGGGGCTGAGGACTCAGGTCAGCATGGGTGAGTTTAATCTTATCAACCAGGAAACAAAGGATCAGACTTTCCTTAGGGATCGGAATGTTTTCCTAAGAAAAATCTGAAGCACTTTTTAGAAGTATGGGATCTGGGAAGGATTCACTCTCTGCCTTTGCAGATGAGAAAATGCAGTAGTTTTGCTACCAGGAAAGACAGGTCCTTCGGGGTCACGCCTGCAAACAGAAGGCAGATGGGGTTGCCAGGTCGACCTGCTGGGTTCCTTGAAAGGACTGTTCCCTGGAAGCCAATGTCAAGAGCAACAAGAAGGGAATATCGCTGGTACTCCTCAAAAGCAAAATTATGGGTTTCACCCCATCTTGCTCTTCTGTTGCTGCAAATTCTGAGGGTGATGCCCCATGGATGCTCCTTATGTAGCCCCACTCTGGGGCTACTGGTCAACCCTAACACCCTGTAACAGTGAAGCCCAGAGGCTCTGCGGTTCAGAGGTTCTACTCTAGCTCAGAGGCCTGTGTGGGAGTCTCCCTGCTCATCAACCTCACTGCAGAAATGCCTTCTCCTGCTGACACGGTTGTCTGCATTTCCTTGGAAGTGATGGCGCATTTCCTTCCATCATAGGGAGAACACATCATAGGGAGAAGCTCTCTGTGGGCATCTCTCACCCTGCCTTCCTTGTCCTCTTATGGTGGCACCTTTCCTCGTCTGCACTCTGGACCTTGCTTGCATCTGCTGCAGAGCTCCGTCCTAATTGCAAATCACTCTGTCAGTTCCTCTGCCAGAAGAGCTTCCTTCTCCTGAAAGACTGCCAGGGTGCCCTGTGTGTTCCGTGACACATGGCACCACTAATTTTCTTGCAGCTTCCTGCAGTGTTGCATAGAGCAAACTGTTCTCTGGTTTGGATTATGAGTTATTTGGAACCAGCATTTTGTCCTTAGCTTATGTGTGTGCATCTGGATCGAGAGTTTGCCGAGCAAAGGAAAAGTGTACAGCTGTACTAGCGAAGTCCACAAAATGCTCCCTAGGATGGCTGGGCCCCGTTCTGCCCTTTCCTGCTCATGACACTGGGTAAACCACTTTGCAAGTGTACTGTGGCAGTTACATTGACAGAACCATTTATATTCAAGGTTGGTTTTATGGTTGGAGTTTGTTAGAGAAGGCTTTTTGTTGCATCAATAAAACTTCTACAGCAGGGCCAGTCATCTCCCTGGAAGGAAGGTCAGCCAAGCCATGTACCAGAATGGCAATGGGGTTTTAGCATTCTAGGGAAATACTTGCAAATATGAAAATCCAAGCTGGAAACATGTAACCTTGTCCTGATAGTTCCAGGAAGCTTACTTTCCTTCTAACCCAAGCAGGCCAGGTTGTGTGCAACATGAGAAGTGCCAGGAACTGAACTTGTCCTGACATCGCTTCCGATTGGGGTGCTTTGTCGCCTTCCTCTCCTGACTGCGTACCCTCTTTGTGCAGGCTGCCTGCGTCCCTGTGATGCTCAGCAATGGATGGGAGTTGCCATTCTCCGAAGTGATTAATTGGAACCAAGCTGCCGTCATAGGCGATGAGAGATTGTTATTACAGGTAAGGAAGAGGCCGCGGCCTTCCACAGAGGGGCAGATTATGGCGGCCCCCATCCAGACTTTCAAAGAAGATGAATTCAAAAGGTCAGCGCTATCAAAGAAATTTTATCAGGGGAAAATGGCCTGTGTCATGGTGAATATGAAGTCATTTAATATATATTGTTCACTTGCCAACACAAAAATCTGTCCAGGCCCACAGAATACATCGTGCAGAGAAGTGGCAGGTAAATAACGCGAGATGAAGAGTGAGAAGAGCGCTTCCCCACCCTTTTCACAACCAGGAAGCTTAGAAATGACCCCGCTGCGCTGCTTCAGATTCCTTTCCCCGCCTGCACACTTAACTGCAGATTACTTTACAGAAAGCGCTGTCTGTAGGATTGGTTCTTACACTTAGCCGTTATCATTACCTGAATGATCTTTCTGGATGCCTGCCCCAGTGTTAGCTTTTGGATATTATTGAAGGGAGCAGTCCCTACTAAAACTCTAAACTGTTCAGAGGAGAGAGGACACAATACTCCAAGAAATGCAAAGGCAAGAATAGCCGGGACAGATTCCTAAAACCCCTCTGTGGTAATTTTGAGGTTCACCATAAATCACCATGGTCTCTTCTCTAAAAACTGTGGAGTGCTTTAATGGTTTTCTTTCGTGATATTTTACATTTTATCTTTAAATCACCAGAAGTATTTCTGGAAAGATTATCTGTAATGACCTTGCTTTTTCCTTTTTTATTTTCGATATCTAGAAAATTGCATTTCTGACTGTTATTGATTCTGCTTCGGGGCTGCTGGCTGACCTGCTAGCAGGCTGGGAATGCAGTGCAGTCCTCCCTCCCCTTGAGCAACAGGCGAAAGAGCAGTAACTGAGTGAGCTACAGGTTAGGAAAGCCCAGCAATCACAGCTCCACCAACTTTCATTTAGGGCTGTGGTCTTCATGGTCGCTGTCATCCCAGAAATGAAGCCAAAGAGAAATACGGGATCTGGAATGGCAGAATCTGTTCATTTGGGCTGTCTCATTCTGCCCAAAATGCAGCTTGGTTCCTGAGCTGTTTGCTGATAAAGGGGTCTGGAAGATCACTTTGGTGGCGTGTGTCCCCATTATGATTCCTTGGGGAAATCCTTGTAGACATACTGAGGAAGGGTTCACCCCACGCAGGGGTAGCATACGCCCGACTTGTTTACTCTTCCAAAGCCAAAAAAGTAACATATATGGTGCTTTACTACATTGCCTTTTCCTTTCCATTTCTATATTTTTATTTTTATTATTTTCCAGTACTGGAAATCGAACTCACGGCCTCGTGCTTGCCAGGCAGGCGCTATGCTGCTGAGCTAAACCCCCAGCCCCTTCTATTTTTTAATAGTAGATGCCCATTAAAGAAATATGGGTAATAAAGGGAATGAAAAACATCACCCATAGTTTTGTCACTGATGTGCCAAGAGTTCTATGAATTTGATCATACATTTGGAGTTTGTCTTGGGGACGGGCAGCATGCTGGGCTGTGGTTGCCCAGTCTCTACCATGTTACCCGAATTGTTAGGTGTTTCTCCTGCAGGACACCTTTTTTGGGTTGACTCTGAGGATTGTGTCTGTCATGCTGCACCCACCCCTCCACCCAAACTGCCTGGTGTTTTTCCTTCTCATCTGCTGTCCGCTTTTGCACAGCTGCCTCCATGTTGAACAGCGACCGGGCTGTCACTAACAGTGGTGTTAAAGAGCTGGCCCTGAGCCCCAGTGTGTGCTCTGGGATTTGTTTTCTTATGTTACGGTTTTTCATTTCCTGTTTTAGAACAGCTCGGATGTTTTTATTTGCATATATTCTTGTCATCTTGTCGCCGAGAGAGCTTATTGTGGTGTTTCTATATCTATTTTGGTAGGTTCTATTAGTTTTGTTACCATACATGACCTTTTATTAAGATTTCATTGAGTTCTTCAGCTTCCAAAACAATCTGGCCAAATTGCAATTAATTTATCACTTTCCCGTACCTGTCTCTTAGGACAGGCAGATTAATAACCAATAGCCAAATGCCATTAAGACTTGGAACTCTGTCCTTTCAGTCAGTTGCTGTTGTTTTTCAGGGCATTTTGCAGCATGCTGTCAGACACGTGTGTCACACTCACAAACTGGTAGAACACACAGCTCTAGAGGTAGACAAATCAAGGTGTGGCTGTGTAAGACAGTAAATCACCCTGATGGGGGAATCCCTGGTATTTTTTCACCTTTCAGAACCACAGCAGACTCAGTTTTTTTTGGAGATCACATAGCAGTGACAGCTTTAGGCATTTTTCTAGTGGAGGGGTTCCTCATGACCATGATAAAACATTGGTACCAACTCAGAATTACCATTGATATTTAAAAGAGGGCATGATTATGCAAATTGAACAGGGTAATTTCTTTCTAATCTTTCTTTGACAATCTAGGTAGTTCTCTCAATGAGTAAATAAAAATAAATTTTCTTAGAATTATCAAGGATTCATGATATGGTTGCTTTCTTCATCTTCTCCAAGGATATCTTATTGACACTTGACTTGGACCTCTGCTTTTAGGCTCATGTTGCCGCTAGTATTGCTCCTTTACCTGCTGCATATTTTTTCAGTGTTGTGAATCCACGTGCACACTCTGGGGCAGGTCTGGTTTTGAACATGGCCAAGGCAGTCGAGCTTTTCCTTCTGTTCTCATTATGAAGCAGGTTCATTGCTCCTCCTGAGGAGAGTCTTGAATCAATGTGCTGCCAGCTCTTCACCTCTAGTGGGAACTTGGTTATAGTCTCCGTCAAATGTCATGGGTAACTTGCCTATTAATGCAGCGAACTGAGCCTTTGCCTTTCGGCCTGGGCTCCCATGTCTGTCTGATTAGTCATGCATTAGGGAGGCAAGCATGCAGAGAGAGGTGAGCACAAAAGAGCATTTGCTAATCACAGGGAATCTCTCCAAAGAACAAAGACGCTGTAAATGAAACCGACCTTGGATGGTAGTTGAAAATAAGAAACAAGCCCAAGACACTTAACCAGAGACCCAGGAAGTCCATTTCAGAGTTCACAGGAGGCATTTAGCAGTTGGCCTAACTTTAAATAGAATCAAGAGATCCAACTTAGAACAAAGCCACCCTAATGTCAATAATAATAATGATAGTATTAGTAATAAGCCATATTAATTAAACTTCCCACATTTTAGGGCTCTGTGCTAAAACCTTATATAAACTTCATTAGGCTGTATGATGTTCATTTGCTCCATTTTATAAGTGAGGAAATGGAGTGTTTGAGAGACTATTTGGCCAGTCCGGGGAAGCACACGTAGAGGCAAAATTCCTACCATGGACTGCCCAGCTCTTGTAGGTTTAACCATTAAGTTAAACTATTAAAAAGTTATAACATCCTGATAATAGTGGCTTCAAGCGGTCATGTTAACTTCAACTCTTATTTCTTGAATAACTACTACATAAACGCTACTCTTCTAGCCTTAAAATGTGTAGCAGGATGGACAAGAGAAACTTTCTCTGAAGATGGTATAGCTTGATGGAGAGCAGTGTGTGGCTAAGGATATATGATGCGTGAATGTTGCAGTTAGATCGGGTGAGGGCTGGAGCCAGGGAGAGAGATGGAGGGAGTGAGAAGGCTCAGAGTGGGAGGAAGGAAGGATGTGCACGTAGAAGTGTCTACCTTGGCTGCATTGGATGGGGAGGCTTTTGCACATTCTCTACAAAGACCTTTCATAGATATTTCAGAGATGCTAGGGGAATAATCTTAGAAGTGCTTGAAAGATGAAGTCTTTTGGCTTTTCCCCAAGGCCTGTGGCTACTTTCTGTAAAATACGATTGTCCGTGTGCAGCGTTGAGGATTTCTGGGACTCTGAGAGGTTGAAACAACAACTGTGACCATAGGAACACCCTAAGCAATTGACTAGCTGCAAATCAGGATTAGAAGTCAACTAAGTTAATGCATAATTTTTTGCATTAAAAGCTGACCCACTGGAAGTGCTGTTTGTACCTAAGGCTTCTCAGGGGCATTTCTACCCAGGAGCTGCCAACTCTGGTAGAGCTGTCTGCTAGAGGCTGACTGCTATGAAGAACAAAAGTGTAACCTGGTTGGGTTGTTTTGATCAAGTACATCTTTCTGTTTTACAGTTATAATTACTGTGTGTTCACTTTATGTTACAGATTCCTTCTACAATCAGGTCTATTCATCAGGATAAAATCCTAGCACTTAGACAGCAGACACAGTTCTTGTGGGAGGCTTATTTTTCTTCAGTTGAGAAGATTGTATTAACTACACTAGAGGTAAGCGAGACTGCTTGGTTCCTGGTCTTGAATAACAGTCCTTTATTCATTTGTCTCTGCTTCTCTTTTGCTGTTGATGGTGTGTAGTTGGTCAAGTGGGGCAAAACCAAGTTTTCTGTGTGTGGGTGTATTGGTGAACCCCCTTTGACCCCCTTTGTCTTGCCCAAGCAAATGCCCTCATTCCTGGACAATCGACACGGACAGAGATGGACTCTGACATCCTGCAGGGTTGTGTGGGTAATGACTGTCTTGCTGTCACTCACACTCAGGGGCATCCTTTGAAGACATACTTCTGCAGCTCATTTAGGAAAAAAGATAACGAACAGTAGGAGGAAATCTTCTACCTCTCCAGAAATACAAATAGATTAGTGGGAATCATAGACCAGCAGCACTGGAGGCCGCAATATTAACTCTCAGGACATACGCAGTCCAACCTACAGGATCTCCAACCAACCAGCATCTGTGTTGCAAGATTACATTCAGAGTAAAATTGGGATTGCAGCCACTGGGTGTGGAAAGTGTTAAGCTTTATGAAAGCAGAAAATCTTTTAAGCAGATAGGTGCCCATCTTCGAGCTGCTTTTGTTAAGGTGGGAGGAGAAAAGGAAAGGGAACAGTGCAGGTGATTAAAACCTTGGAGGCAGAGCAGCTCGCAGTGGCCTGAGGCTACACCCAAGCAGTCCAAAGAGCTGAGAAAAGCTGTAGAAAACTGCACACTCATGAGGTACAGGCTTGCAGGAGGGAGGGCGGAGGTCCTTAGGGTAGTACAGCACCCAGGCGCTCAGAGGTGTCCACAGAATGGGGTGGGGGCATTTATCCCTGCATTTTTGGGGTATTTTCTTTGGGAATCGATTATTCTGCCAAAGCAAGTATCATTTGCAGCATACCTGCGAGCACTGAGTAATATGAAGGAAATTAAGGCCACCGTGTTGGTTCCACATGCAGTTTTCTTGCCACTGAGAGTGTCAGAGTCAGTGCTGGTCACTGCACACAGGGCGTCACCTACTGTCTCCTGGCCCAGGCTTCTACTCCCACCTCCTGGCAAGCTGGATTGTCTTTCATCCTGCGGCCGGGTGAAATGCACTGCTCAGGACCTGGCCTCGCACCCACGCAGGCAGCAGGGTCCTGGCGGCAGTCAGGTCTTGCTTATTGCAGGCCCACTTTTCTTCCTGCCCCAGAAGCATGGTCCCCCATGAAAACTGTGAGCTTTTGCTTCTGTCCGTACCAGCAGATTTGAATATTCAGAGGAGTCTACCCTTCTCATCAATTCAGTTACCCATCCAAGATCTTAAATAGAGTTGAAGGTTAACTTTTATTTATTAATTTTTTGAAAGAAATAGTGCTTTTTACCAAAGGAGTACGTGTTCATTTGGGAAAATCCTTAAAGCATTGAAAAAAAACCTACCCATACAAACCACTATAGATATACTATAGATCCACATGAACAAATGTATAATTTATACAAATGTAAAATTTATTGTGATTTTTAATTTTAAAACTATCTTTCTGTACTAGCAATATAACATGTCTGTCTGCTGAGTGTTCTATTGTTACTATTTTCTTATGTCATTGTAGTTTTGTAATTATTTGGATTATTTTAAAATTATTTTAATAACTGTATGTTTCATTTATGGTATCAGCATTGCTTAAATTCCCAATTTAGATACATTATAATTGTTTCTAATTTCTCATCAATATATACATCATCAAAGCAAACAGCCTTAAAGCTAAATTGTGCAGATATAAGATCACTTCCTTTGGATAAATTCCCTTAACTCAATGTCCTGGTTCAGTATCGCAAATGCTGAATTTCTAATGTGATTTGTCAGTTTTCCCACAGTAGAACCAAAGTAATTTATACTCCCTTCCAGCTAACATGAAAGGACCTATTTTCATTATTTTGGAGTTTTATTCTTTATTAATATTAAAGATTATGTTGTGAAAAGATAATAAAGCACGTTCTTCATTTGTATTTCTTAGCATATTAGTAAAACAAATATTTTCTTATATTTCTTGCTCACAGAGCTCACAAAGAAAGAAAAAAGGAATTGCTGCAATATTGCTGTTACTTTTTTTCATACTACTTTATAAGAGCTTATTATATTAAAAATGTTAACCCTTTGGTTCTTTTGTTGCAAATATTTCTCACCAATTTGAGATACGCTTTTCTGTTATGTTCACCATTAGTCAGTGTTTTCATCTATGACTTCTTGATTTGTTATTTTTTAAGAAGGCACATTTTGAGCCATAACTTTATCTATCTATACACATATAGAAGCATATGTTTTAGTACACTCATGGTTAGTTTTTTTATATTTATGTATTTAACCATTTCGTCCAATTTTTTCTTTATGATCCTTGTTGAGTAAGCTAACTGTTCTCTTCTTTTTTTAAAATTAATAAGTCATATAGATATCCCAGTACATTTCTTGTTACTTTGCCTTGGTGTTTCTGGTCTTTTAACTCTGTCTCGTTGGCATCCACCTGTAATATAGCCAGATCACATTTTAACTTTTTTCACCCTAATATCCGACCAGTAGTAAACCTCTGTTTTCTTAACCAACTTGCTATTGTTTACTATTAATGTTATTTCTCATAACTTAGTTTTCGTGGATAACAGTCTTTGTCCAAGTTATGATTTTTGGCATGTATCTTGGACTACATTTCTGCTTATTTCATTAAGGTGGAACCCCTCAGGGGCTGGGGATTTAGCTCAGTGGCACAGCACCTGCCCAGCAAGTGCAAGGTCGTGAGTTCGATCCCTGGTACCGAGGGCGGGGGGAAGATTACTAAAGATGGAACCCCTCAAAGGAGATTAATGAGCTCAAGAATGCAGGCACTTCTAAGGCTCATAATTTAGCTTTTGCCAAATTAATCTTCATACAGTTTGTATCCACCTAGACCCGTAGTGGTGAACCTATGGTGCACATGCTGCAGCCAGGTTTTTGTTATCATTTAAAGGCTCTAAAAGGTTCACTGTCATTGCCCTAGATCCTCACCAGCTGTCTGAGGTAGAACTTCTCTTGCTCTAAATAATCACCCTGAAGGATCATAATTAGTACACATACACACCTCTGCTAATTTACCAGATGCAAGATCGTGTCTTACTCATTATATTTCTTTCGAGTTAGTTCATTGCACAGATCCATTTGCTTGCGTATTAAGTTGGCAGTGGTTCATTATCCTGTAGCAACAGTTGAGTGTGTTATATTCGTTAGAACAGGATCTTAAGTCAAGCTGTTTTTACCTCTGAGCCTGGAAAGGCCTTCTTCCCCTTGGATTTAAGCTGTGCAACTCTTTGGCAACACAGTTGCTTTTTAAAATACTGAATGCCATATACATCATTCAAATTTATAGCACCTGCCCAGTCTCTTTATATCACCCAAGATGGGATTGTAACAATTTGACCTCTCAATCAAGTTGCGTGAGAGATACTTTTTCTCCTCTTAATTCAGAGCGGAGATCACTACAGAATTCAGTATTCACAGAAAAGCAGGGAAAATAGCGGAAAACACTACCCACACACGCAAATAAGCAAACTCAGTGTGCACAGTTAGATAATATGTTATTTTATCAGTGCGGGAGCTCTTCAATATGAAAATAATTCACAAGTAACTTTAGGCAACATAGCATTGAAGACACTTTGGTCAAGATGCTCAGATTGCAGAATTCTGGGTCCTTTTTCCTTCCTTACTATATTGCAGGTCAAGGGAGCGGGATTGCTGAGTCTTTGGAGAACATAAGAGCTTTAGAGTTCCAGGTAGTACTTAGCCACAGTTGAAAACAAGATTCCCCATCCCTGTCTCCAGGGCCAAAGTCGAGTTATCGGTACATTGAGTTCATCATGCAGCTCTCCATCGTGATTGAGATTCTGTTAGATTTTCCTGTTGAGAACACTTCCTTAAGGTGCCCCTTGGAATTAATTAATGCTAAGCTTTGCGTGCACATTGTGAAATAATAATGGGGACAACAGTAAGATACCGTAAAGTATTCCTGTATTTGTCAGAATATTGCACAATAACCTGGTAGTCAGAATTAAAGCACAGGAACTCAGAATCAAGGCAAGGGAAAGAAAAGTGCATGAGATTATCATGATATGTGGGGACAGCTAATGGTAGTGGAGAACACATTTTTAGGGGCTTTTATGAATTTTTCCACATTTTCCTCCTCAGATATCTGACTGTGCATATTCAAACCATGGTATTGTTGGTGCAGTTATATTGTACTGTTTTAAAATCAATGAGATTATAGACATAAGAGGTTGCTTTATTTAGCTTTGGGAGAAGTGGCTTGTGATGGCCGTGTATGTAGAAGGCAGTGTATGCAGAAAAGTGGTGTGGTCAGCAGACCAAACCAGGGCCACATAGAAAAGCTAACTAATAACCACTTATCCTTTTTTCTATTTAATCCAAATAGCCCATGGAAAAGAAGTTTGTGATTCTTCCCTTTAAATTCACTTAATAAGAAGTATTATCTTTCTTGAAGGTCCCATTTGGGACCTTCCTGAACAAAAAGAATCTTGTATTGTGTATGTGTGTGTTTGTGTGTATGAATGTGCTAACTTGCTTCATAGACAAGAAGTTCCACTGTGACATCTTCTACAAAATAAATGTGAGCACTGACAGGATGTTGGGAGCTGTTCAGTGTAGTGATGAGGACAGTTTTGGATATTAGGTGAGAGAAAAAAGGATCTTTCTGCTTGATGAAATGAGATCCATGCTCTTTCAGACTTTTGACAAGGCAAGTGTATATCATCCTTTTAGAGAGAGGTTTGATAATACGTGTGAACAGTGTTCATATCCTTCACCAAAGTCCGAAAGAATCAATGCAAGATGTGGAAAAATTTTACTCATAAATACGTTCGCTCCTTTACGTGGAAAAATTGCCCTGTCATTGGCTTTTAGCATATGTAAACCATGAATTCTGTGATGATGTCTATTATAGTATAGCTATGTAAAAATGGAAAAGCCTCTGCCTAGAAAATGAACACAGGAATGAAAATTTCTTTCCATGGCAGGAATCAAGTACAAAAACATAGGCAACCATTCTAAATTCTAAAAGGCCACTGTCATTAATGTGGTATTTTATTGTTTTATTAGAAGTGAGGAAGGTGAGAAATAAACTTGACAAATTGCTTGGCCAAGGTTAAATTCAACATTTGTTATTGCTGTCATACCTGCACTGATATCTTTTTGTCAAGATTCATTTGAAGAGATTATAAAATGCTTATTAATATTTCAGAAGAGTCCTATAACTGATTATCATGGCTTGGAATTTTAAAAGATAATGTTGTGATACCGAAAAGGTAGCCTCTGACCGTGCAAAACATACCATTACAGACCCAAAGTGAGTGGGGGCGACCCTGTTTGTGGCATGTCTAAGTGCCTTATCATTTGTAGGTGAGGTGCACAATGCTGTCTGTTGCTAATTTTTTCTGCCTTGATCCCCAGACTTATTTAAGTACCCACATGCTGAAAAGCAAACAAATTCAGAAAGACAAAAAAGATCTAAACGAAAACCTAAAACTTTTAAGAGGAAATACATAGACAGTAGACTTGCAAAGCCTATGCATTATAAAAAATTGGAATAACTGTTGTACAGAATAAAATTGCTAGCCATGTAAAAGCTCTCTAGAACCATGACAGTCTTCTCGGAATTCATGCTTGGACAACAGAATCGAAATACACTCCTCCTGTAGCAGAAAGTGAACATCCGTATTTTAACTAGTTTCCTAAACTGCCACCAAGTCAGAAACCTCTCGCCCACCCTATGAAATTAGCAGTTTTGATCTGAAAGAAAGATAAAATGCAGAAATCCTTGAACTAAAATAATTGTGTTTGTCTGTGTTACTTCCCTCCTGCTTCCTTCTCTCTTATTAGGAAAATAAACATGCTAAGGTGTGCAAGGATCAGTGTAGCTCACTTTAATCCTTTTCTAGTTGCCACGTGAGAGGAGAGGAGATGAGGATGCTTCTCACTTAGCAAATAATAAAACCCCCTGTAAAATGGGTTGTACCTAAAATCATGCTGTGTTAGATGGGAACCTGGAAAATGGTGATTTATTTAGGTTCTGAGGAATTGAACTCAGAGCCTCATGCCTGCTACACACGTTTTATCACTAAGCTACACTCCTAACCCCCAGGATTTATTTTTTTAAGTACAAAAGAAATTTTACTGGAAACATGAAATTCCATATCAAGTTAATTATTTGCCCAATCATATCTTAATGAGTGGATAGGATCATTACAAGAGTTTAGCAGTCACAGAGAGAAAGCCCTGAAGTGGACTAATCACATTGAACTGACAAATGATTCAGGAAGGGAGAGTCTTTTACTCTAAATGTAGAATTTAATGATCTGCTAGGTCCCAAAGTCCAAAGAAGCTAATGAACTAGCTTAACTGTTATCAGTCTTAATATGCCATGGTTCTTGCCCTATTATGTAGGGTGTTTTGAGAAATTATCGACTCACTATTTTTTTGAGGTTGAAATACAGAAAGAACCTCAGCTAACTGGTACCCAAAGTCGTCCAGTTAACTTAGGAAAATTTTATATGCCAAGCAAAGAAACCTACCTCCCCCTTTAAAAGAACAGATCAAAACGTCATAGCCTCGAAAATGTGTCATGTGTTCAGTATGTTTCGGTTCTGTGTCTACATGGTCTGTGCTGACATCTTTGTGAACAGGGACCATATCTCATGGATCCATTGCTATGTGTGCAGCCATCAATGATATTATCAGTACCATACATTCAACTTTAGAATGAGTGTGGACTCGTTGTTAGAGAAAAGCAAAGATAGGATTTATGGTTAAACTCACTTTATTTAGGAAATTTGACTTGCCGTAATTCATCTCTTTCTTGTGTCATTTTCCACCGTATGTTACTTCTCTTTGTCTTGCAGACATTTTTATGAATGGAGGTCAGGTAGGGGGAGAAGTGAGACAGTACTTTGAAAACACCATCATCCCTCAAATTTGGATTAAGCAAGATCCTCACCAAGCGCCATCAGGGTCTCATCCTCACCATGGGCTGTGTTTTTGTTTTCTAGATTATTCAGGACAGAATATTCAAGCACATATCACGTAACAGTTTAATATGGAACAAACATCCTGGAGGATTGTTCGTACTACCACAGTATTCATCTTATCTGGGAGATTTTCCATACTACTATGCTAATTTAGGTGAGTGACTTCCTTCCAGGGAGCTCCTTTTATTTACCCTCAAGATGTCATCCAGAACTGAAGCCCTGTGACTCTTCTGTCCAATAGTGGGATCTTCCCAACAGCCTGCGTTGGAGATTGCTTTTTGGCCTTGTTGTTAATATCAGATTGTGTTCAAGAATTATACACCCAGTGGAACACTGGGAGAGGGAGCTCCTTTTTTTCCCATGAGCAGCTACCTTTAATAGAGGTATTTCTTGTTAAGAAATAGGTCCCTCAAATGGTGGATCATTTTGACCATGGCAATGGATTACCTATAAACTTAAGTCTCAACATATATAAAATATAATTAGAAAAGCTCTCCCTATTTTTTTCCACAACTCTACTTCTGTATTCTATACCAGAGGAAAACTGAATAGGGGGAAAGAATAAATAAGACTGTATGACAAGGCAAATAGATACATTCTTTCAACCTTTATTATGCATGTCATTCATGCTCTGTGAAGGCAGTGCTATGCACTAGAAATAAGATACAATTTCTGCTCTGAAATAGTGTTTAATTACAATATAAGTAGGCAAAAAAATGCTGCTATATCATTGCTTTGGGCACTGATGTATTTGGGCTTGTCTTGGACATTTCCTCTCATAATTCCAAACTTGAGAAGTCTTGGAGTAGCAAAGCATCTTTCAGGTTGATATACCAAAAGAACCCAAGAGTTTCCATTCCATGCTATCATTATAAAACAGTCTTGCCCCTTTTTAAGTTGTACATGCTTAGCTTGAAACCAAGTTTAAAAAAAAAAGGTGAAACTTAAATTTAAATTCGTGGCATGAAATATCCAGCAGTGATTAAAAAAAAAAAATAAAATAACAACAACAAAAAAACCCCTTTAATCTGAACCAGAGGTGTAACGGGGACCAAATGAAATTCAGCAAACAATCCACTTTGGGTGATGTACTCCGAGTTCAGTAGCTGTCCAGTGCAAGTGGTGGCTAGGAATTTCCAGATATTTCAAGTAGTCTGCGTCCTTGTTTGGAATTACTATGTTAGAAGTGTGTAAATGATGCTACTTAAATGATTGCAGGAAAAGCTAAAGGCAGTGACTTGTTTCTGCTGCTGAAAAGGCAATTCCTCAGTCATGTTTATTCCTGCTTGAATGTATATTCAGACAGTGGGAAGGTTAGTTAGCTTCTTTCTAATGTATGGTTAAAGTGCTAGTTGGATGATACAATTTTCTCTACGAAATATGTGTATAACCCTTTAACATATATAGTCTAATACTAAGCTTTGTCCCATCAATATAAAAACTTGATTCAAATGTCCCTGCACTCCCTTGTTCCCATGTAAGCTATGAAAGTGCCAGATTAGTGGGTCTAAACTAATGAAGTTTTAAAAGGCTCTTAAGTTGTTCCTAATTTTTTAGTGAGTTTTTATAGAAGACATGAGATAAACCAACTCATTTCTCTCTTTGGTGGCAGTGTTTGCTTTGTTTTTTTATGGTCCTTTTCTGCCTAGGGCTTCAGAGTTACAATGGGCAGAAGTCTGCATAATACACTTTCTGTCTCAGCTGTGTTACTGCTCTCCAAGGAAGAGATTCTTGCAGTCTGGAGACATTCTGATGGTGATTGTAGTCGTGGTAACAGCTAACACATACTGAGTGCTTACGATTTGTTTATGCTAAATGTCCTGGGTACATTAACTTTTTACTCAGTTCTTACAGCAACCCTCTTAGTTTGGTATTGTTCCTTGTAGCCCCATTTCGCAGCTGTAGGAACACAGACGGTTAAGTAATTTTTCCAGGATCCCACAACCACTAAGTGGTAGAGCCGAGATTCAAACTTAGATAGTCAGGCTCCGGAAGCTGTTCTTTTAACTTTTCCTACTTGCTAGTCATTATTTGAAATGCTGTTAATCAGGCCGAACCCCTAATTGCATAATTAAGAATCAGATATGTGCAAACAGCCTCCGAGAAGTAGCACATTGACGTAAACCCGCATTAAGATGTGAGTGAAGAGAGCAGAGCCTTGCTTGAGAGCGCACGTGTGGGTGTGCATTTGGACACTGGGTGCCGAAGAAGCCGCAGGGAGATCAAAGGAACATCACCACGGCAGGCAAAGGCCATCCACGGAAGAGTCTGAAAATGGACACTGGTCTGTAATGTACTGGGGTCTCTGGACTGAGGCCGTGGTTCAGTAGCAGCTTTTCACCTTGTGTCTGTACTGTCAGGACACAAAACACGAAGGCAGAATGTGCTAGAAGGGAACATTAGCTCTCGGGTGAAGCAATGGAGCAAGAAGGAATAATTTTCAAAATCATGTTTTCCCGGCTCCATTGGGCTCCTTGCTCCTTGCCGTTCCAGGTTCAAAGCCCCCCTCCAGATTCACTGCAGTCATCCACGCGGTCACCCCCCTGGTCTCCCAGTCCCAGCCAGTGTTGAAGCTTCTCGTGGCTGCAGCCAAGTCTCAGTACTGTGCCCAGGTGAGTGGAGCTGCCCTCCCCGTCCCTGGTCAGCGCCTGGCTCCTGGGCTCCGTGTATCACACCCTCGCGCGTCTTTCCAGCCATTTAGAAGAGGGAAACCAGCCCCGGTACTGGGTAGTTGCAGAAAGACTTCGCACTATGTGAAGTTAACACACACGGACGTTCTCTAAAGAATACACAAGCACATAATTTTGCTTTCAAATGTCAAGATGATAAAGTAACATATGAAAGGCCACTGGGACGAACCACAGAGCACTGGAGTTTCAGTAGAAGCAGCAGACTGGGTGTTGGGAGGAATCAGCCTTCCTTTCACAGCCGCCATGACTAGTTCTAAACTCGGAAGGGGGTGATGAGATCTGTCTACACTGATATTTTCCAAATCACTGTTGCTCCTGCACTCGTAACGGTGGATTTCTGACTTGTGAAATCAGTGCAGACAAGGAGGTTTACAACCCAGGAAAGAATCAAATCATGTTAAAGCGTGCTTTTTTTTTTTTTTTTTTTTTTTAACTAAATGCCTTTATTGGAAATTATAAAGTCGCATAAAATCAGCAACCATTCTGGGAAATCCAAAACATGAGCTCATCCCAGTTCTGTCTTGAATTCTTTTATTTCACCCACATTGCCTGGTATAGTGCAAGCTCAGAGCAGATGTTCAGATGTTTAGTATAAATTTTTACTTAACTTGATCAGAGCGATCTCATGCATCATTTTAAGATACAAGCATTTATAAAGCCGCTTTTGTAAGCTCCAGCAACCTTGAAATTACTTCTTATTCCTCCAGCTTTCCCCCAGTCCCTGGACACAAAGTTTTAGGCTTTTCTTTCTGACCCCTCTCTGAGGGCTTTGGGGAGGTAGGTGCCCTTTGTAATCCATGTTTGTTGTCTGCTGTTCTGCCTTGCTGAGCACCAGCTGCCTCATTTGCTCTCTGTTATAAGATGAAGCTGGGCTGGAGCCTTATGCAAATACACGGAAACTGGCCATCTCATGACCCCTGTCCCTTTCAGATCATTGTTCTATGGAATTGTGACAAGCCCCTGCCCGCCAAACACCGCTGGCCTGCCACTTCTGTGCCTGTCATCGTCATTGAAGGAGAGAGCAAGGTAGGTTTGCAGGAACCTAAGTGTGTAACCCTTGAGGAGCCTTCATTTCTCACAGGTGTTGGCCCTGGAAGTCTTCATCCCACCCTGGTCTGTGTTTTCTAAAGCCGTATGTCTAAATTCAGAACATCCTCTGCTTTGACAGCCGTGGGCCTTTGAATCCATAACACCTGGATCTGAGGATGAACCCTTTGGTAGCTTTCAACCTTGTGTTTATTCTTGAGTTCTTGGAACTGTCCTTTCCTCATGCAGAGTATAAATAGGATGCCTATGTCCTAGGTTTGCTATTGGGATTAAATGGACTCTGAGTCGGGCAATAGTAATCTTTCCGTAAATGGTGAGGGTCAAGGTAAGGTTGTTGGTGATGGTGACATTTGTGTAGCTGATTAATCCAAATGAGTTGTGTCTTCAAGAATAGTAGTCTTTCTTCACGGTTGCCTTAGAAGGGACATTTCACCCTGATTTTATTCTGATGCCTCCATCCGAAGAGTCGCACTGAGACTGCCTTGCTGGCCCCGTTTTCCAGTCCACTCTGCCTAGAACTAAATCTTCTGATCATCTTGTGGCCCGTTAGGGACGCCATCTACTAATGCTAACCAATGTGAGGCCGTGTGTAATGTGGTTCAAGCCACCTTCCAGTGCTCTTGCTCATGGCTTCCCCCTGCAGACATTATTTACAGTCATCTGAACTGCCCTGTGACCTTCCTACCTCTTATTTTTCTTAACATCTCATGTTTTTCCACCCCCCTCAATTTATCTCTTCCGGAATTCCGGTATATCCTCTGTCTCAGCCACTTTGCTCATGGCTGAGGCACAGTACCCAACAGCCACAGCTTGGAGGAGGAGAAATTTATTTTGGCTCACGGTTTTAATCCATGCTTGACCAGTTGCAGGGCAGCAATGGTATAGAGGACAGGCCCGCACAGGGAAGAGCTGCTCATTCCATGGTAGCCAGGAAGCAGAGAGAGCGGGGAGGAAGTGGAGGGAGCTCTTCCACCCAGGCTCTACCTTCTGGCAGCACATTGAACTCTGAACTCCTGTAGTGCAATGATTCATGAGTACAGCACCCCGTGATCCAGTCACCCGCTAAACAGCGAGGCTTTGGGGGGACACCCTGGACCAACACTGTTACCTCCTCTGAGCTCCTGCTCACGCGCTAGCTTGTCCTGGAAATGTCTTCCCCTGTTGGCAGCCGGAAGTGAGCTCATTTCTCAAGTTTCTGCTTGGTGTTTTCTTCTAATCCTCCTCCCCATTGTGGAGAGATCAGCAGCTAGTCACTGAAATTGAGATTGGTGAAACAGCATTGTCTAAGGGACTTTGTGAGTCTCCAAAGGATTAGGTCATGAGAAACTGGCTCCCAGCAAGTAAAACACCCTTGAGCGAGAATAACAAATAGTGATTTTTAGCTCAAACTATTTGAAATCATCATCTGAGTCGGTGAAGTGGTAGCGTCATATGATTCGATGGAGTGCAGTGAGAGTCGTAATGGTCACGTGGACATTGTCTGCTCAGTCCCCGTTGTCGCATCTTCTGTGCACTGGGCATGTGCAGCAGGCCTGGAACCCAGCGGGGAGCGCAGCGGGTGAGTCACGGCACCATGGAGCTGGGTGAAGCAGCCCTGTGATCAGAGCCGCTTGGTGAGCGTGTGTGGAGATGGAGTGCTTTCTCCCAGCGTCAGTCTTTCGTACCCTTTGGCTCCATCACTAGGCACTGGTTTCACGAAAGTAACTGGCAGGAAAGACTCTCCTGCCAACAGCCCCTTCTGCGCATCTCCCAACCAGCAGGCTGCCGTGGGGAGGGCCGTGTTCCGGTCACCACGCCCGAAGGGCAGCAGGACTTGGGCGTATGCAGGCAACTTCGAACTTTGATTTTCTTTGGTTTTTATGCTTCCCTGAGTCACCAGATCTTCATGCGGGTAGAATTTGGATATGCTAGGATATGCCGGCCAGTCCCAGTCTGACCGACTGGGAGCTACTCAGCTTTAGATAGTGTTGTATTTTCATGCTCTGATCTTGACTGATTTCCTATTTTCACTTTCCGTGAAAAGAAACTCTTCAGTTGCTTTCTTCCTAAAAGAGAGTGGAGAATAAGAGGACTTGGGTTGTGGGCTTTATCTGAGGTCTCTTATAAGACGCTGCAAGTTCTCCCAGTTATAGCGCCACCTGGGCTCCTGGCGGTTTGTTCAGTCCGAGCTTGCACTTTGGCTGCTAATTCTTGTGGGCCATGTTTTCATTGCCATGCTTTCTCCCCACCCCCAGTGCCCTGGGATTGTCCCTTCTAGTGAAGCATTTGCACTTTACTCTTGCTTCAGGCTCTGTTCCATGTTGTGGGTTAAATGGGCTATGGCATATCAGGTGCTTAGCCCAGTGCCTGGCACACATACACCAAGGATTCAATAAATGTCAGCAGTTTTCCTGAGAGACATTGTAATGTCTTACTTGTACTGTGGGCTGTAGAACCCCACTTACTTCTGTGTGATCTAAGGTGAGTGACTTAGTCCCTGTGTTTTCATCCCCCCTTGAGTGAATGCAAACAATCATGTACCTAACTCCTAAGGTGGCTAAGACAAGCAAGTGATATAATATACTATAACCAGGGAACTGCAAGAATGTAGCTGACGCTCCAAAATACGAGCTTTGTAATGGTTTGTATGCATGGCTTATCTTTCCCTTTGGATAATAAACTTCTTCAGCCTTGGTCATTAGCTAGTTGTTTGTTAGTTCCAAAAGAGTTGGGTCTCATATGGTAGCTAAGTATTTCTTAAATGAACAGAGAAAAGGCAGTCTACTCAGGATCGCCCCAGTGTGTGCTTTTGTTCTTCTCTTCCTAATCCTTTCAGGAAGGGAGCTGAGGCAGGCTGTTTAAAAGAAAGCCTCTGGTTTCCACGGGGGGATTTGGAAGTGGCTGGCTGGTGCCCTGGGGACCTGTGTATTGCTGGAGTGGGTTCAAGAGAGACAAGCAGATCCCTTCAAAGCCAGTAGTTGGACCAGATGCTGGAGAAGAAGCCCTCTGTCCTCCTCATTCTCTATCCGAAAATCTCCATGCCTAGCCTTCAATTTAAAATTGATGTGTGTGCTGCTTTGGCTGCAAAATTCTTTTTTGAATTTATAGGCCTTGTCTTTGCAGTTTTCCCCTGTAGGCTTAACAAGGGAAAGGTCAGGGCATTGCTAAGCTGGCAGCTAATGGTTTCTTCGTTCCTCGGTGGACATGTAAACAGTACCAGGAGAATCGCTTCAGGCTGAGATTTCTGAGTGCCTTGTCTATGGGGTTGCTGAGTGCTTTGAGTTTTATTTTATTTTGAAAGCCTGAGAAAGATTTTTTTAAAAAAATAAAAAGAAACCCTGACCCAGTTGACAGATGTGTAGGAGCAGCCCCTGCAGCCATTTATGCTACAGATCCATCCCCTGAGCTCTCCAAGTTGGGTTAGCCAGGCCACCTTCCATTCTTTACTCAGAAAATCTCCAGTCACTTCACAGGTGCATAGCCCGAACTGGAGTCAAGGTCTGTGGTCAAGCTGGCTTGCCAGTGTTAGCACAGCTTGGGCTTCTTGGGGTATCCTGATTTGTAAGAGGGGACCCTGCTGCTGGTCACTGTCTCCCTCTCCCCTTTGCCTGTATCTCCAGCATTCAGCTGCTTCATTCCCCAAACTTTGTACCTTCAAAGTGGATAGCAAGTGTGCCTGATGCTGCCACACGTGAATTTGGAGGGGCTGTCATGTAACATCACAGGAATGCCACATGTGTCCTTAGATTCACTTTGAGGTTCTTCCCAGGCCTTAGACAGGTTTGTAGCATGGGGTGGAAGAAATCTGGACTCCACCTCCAGGGTAAACTTAACCTTTCTGTGCCCCAGTTTGGCCTTTATAAAATGGGTTGTCCCAAAGATGCAGTGAGACGGGGTACTGAAAGGACTTGGAACATTTCCTGGTGCTTCCTAAATGTTCCAGAGATTCTACCCTTTAATGGTATTCAACACAAAAGTGAGCTGTGCCTATCACAAGGTGGCCTCTCAGCCTCCGTTTTCGCAACTCATCACACAAACACACATACATACCCACGTGGAAACACACACACACACACACACACACACACACACGTCACCTTGCCTAACTCTGCAATTGCCCAAAGTACATCCAAATACCACCTTCAGAATTTTCCTAAGTCTGTGAGCTCCTTGTGCTGCCATTTATTTAAATTTTGAAAATCTAAATTAACTAACTTTTTACTCTAATAAAATTGTTTGTAAATAATTTACTACCTTTGCTAGTATAGCCGCCTTGTAGATCCTTGTGTATTTGTCATGATCTGTCCTGAAATAACCATGTGGTCAAGGGTGTCAGTGTTTGCACACTTCCCCTGGTGTGTGGTCCACATTTGGAGTCGTTGCTGCAGCCTCTTCTGCTCTGCTGCCTTGCGGACAGTGTTTTCTTCCTCGGGCTCTTGGCCCCTGAGGAGACCCTGTCTTTACTGTCCCTTCGCTCTGCTTGGCAACTGTCTACCCACCGAGGTCTTCAGTGTCACTTCTCGTATGAAGCCTTCTCTCTTCCTGACTGCTCAGGCCTCTGTACTCCTCGCATCTTTTCATTTCAAGCTAGACCTGGTTGTCTGCCTCTGGGCCCTACAGACCATGAGCTCCTCAAAGACAGGGCACGCATCTTATGTTACTCCAACCGCCAGGGACTTGTGTACTGCAGACGCATGGAAGAACAGTTTCTAAACAAACGAGTCAGTGCTGACGGGTGACACATGCCTTCCTGCGTTGATGATAGAACACCCTTCATGGAGGCGAGGATGGGAACGTTCCTAACAGCAAGACTCTGACGTGACCGCTTTCCCCTTCTCTCCCTCCCACCCGCCTTCTCCCTGCCGCAGGTTATGAGCAGCCGCTTTCTGCCCTATGACAACATCGTCACAGATGCCGTGCTCAGCCTCGACGAGGACACCGTGCTTTCCACAACCGAGGTAAGAAACACCCCAAGGAGCTGGCTCTTCAGGCAGGTGCCCTGGGTGCCAAGGTGCCAGTGCTTCCCTTGTCCTTGTCTTGGTGGAAGGCAAAGACATTTTTCAAAATTTCTTGCAGAATTAGTACTAATTAACCCAGTTTCTGTTAGCACCTTGCCATCACCGGGCACCCTGGTGAGGGCACTTTTCCCTTTGTTTCTTTGCTAATTGGTTCCTCATCTGTGTGCCAGCCCCCCACCTTCATTTTGTTTTGAACTAGCACAGCTGTGGGCAGGTGTGCAGAACCAAAGGGGGAGGAACTAAAAATGTTCAGCTTGGAGCAAACACTCCCCATCCTTGCCAATCATCCTGATGCCTGCACCCCAGGGGCTGTTTTCTTTTTTTGGGAGGGGGTTCTGAAGCAGCTCTGTCTCCATCTACGGTCCACATTTTCCCCCACTTACACAAGAGCAGTTTCCCCCGAAGGTTGAAATGGAGACCCCTGCTGCTTTGGATGTTCAGGTAGGAGTGCCAAAATAAGATTGCCTGAAGAATATGTGTGCAGAAGAGAGAGAGGCGGGAAGGTAGATATGGTAGAAAACCAATTTTTATAACTCAGTTGAGTATTGATCTCTGAAGTCATAGATGAGATCAAAGTCCACTCTGTAAAACTGGAGCATATCAGAAATGCATTTTTAACGGTCGCTGCTCTCAAAAGCATGGAGTTTTAAGCACTTATCCTCCCCCCCCCCATTTGCTTTTTCTCTTTTTATTCATAATTTTCCATTGAGTTTAAACCTTGGCTCTCCCCAGCACTTACTTTCCTGGACCCCAGTCTGGTTCACATAGTGGAACTAGGTGTTGCCCTTGAATGAACAGTCCAGGTCTCTTTCTTTAAATTCCACTGCTGCTTCTAATTGCCATCAGGTAGAGCTGAACAAATACTACATACAAGGGCAACCTAAATAACCTGAGGACACAGTGTCCTGGCCTCACCTAGTTGGAATACTTTCTGTGTAGTCCAAGCTCTATAAATACTTGTTGAGTGAATGGTGGCGGGAACGAGGGCTGTGCAGATGAAAGGGTGGACACACGGCCAGTTGTGTCATGTGTGCATCGGGGCCAGGAGGGGCTGATGGGAAGAAAATATGCTTAACGTTCAAGGGCTTCAGAGATAGCTATGAAATGCAGCCTACAGGACACTCCACCCTGTGTTCTCCTGCTGCTTCCTGTGAGCGGAGCTGGCATCATTGGAACACATTCATTCAACAACTATTTATGGGGAGGTTTCTTTGTTCTGGACTCCATGCCAGCTTCTTTGGTTGTAGTTGCTGCCTGTGTCTATCAAAGTCCTGGCAGCAAGCGGAATTCAAATCGGATGATGCAAATGAAAGGACTTGCGATTACTTAGGGAAGGATTAGTGGGTTCCATACGAGGTGGCGAGGCACCGGGTGTGTAGCCAGAGCAGGAAGCACCTCAAGGCCCAGTTGGACAAGGAATCACACTTCTAAAGTCTTTGAGATACAAGTAGGAGAGAAATAGAGGCCTTTCTGCAGGAGCCATGTTCATATTCCGGGAGAAACATGGCTGTGGCCTGAACTCTCATGCCAAAGTAGGATGGAGGCAGGAAAGGGTTATCTTAACCTAACTCTTGATCCTACCTTCATTTTGAAGCTGATGGCTCCTATTGACCTAATCTAGCCAAATCCCAGCCACCAACGATGATCAGGCCCTGAGGATTCCATCATCCCAGGGCACAAAACAGGGCAGGGAGAATAGATAGTGCATCTCTGAGGGCAATCACAGGAAAAACAGCATGGTGCCAGGTAGAACAAATGGTGAAGCCTACTCCAGCATGGGTCCAACTCGTCGTCCTGTAACCTGGAGTCCTGGTTCCTCTTACATCTTCTCCTGAGCACAAAGCAATTAGTCTCACTCTGGGGTTTGTTTTTCCATGTCCCATGGTGAAATCACTGTAAGCTGCTATGATAGATCTTTGCGCTGGTGAATTTCCATTCAAAGAATAGCAATTCCAGCTACTCAGTGCATGCTGGGAGGAGCATGTGTTTTATGTGAAGTAATTAGAAGTTAACGTGGGTTGAAAATGATATGTAAATTTAAGAGGCTGGCTCGCTGGTTTGCTTTTGCCTGCTGATCGGTAGAAAGGATGTGTTGCTTACAATGGTCATGCACAGGGTTTCTCTTTTTCTTTAGGTCAATTGATGCTGGCTCAGTTCAGGGTTCTTAGCTGGTATAAATGTCTCTCTGTACCATGAAGGATAGATTTTTCAGCAGTGTCCTGTAGTTATTAGATATAGTTGGTTTATAGTTGTTTACATTTATCTAGGTTGCTGCAAATCCTCAAAAGAAAACAGATGTTGATTTTTAAGAGAGCAGACCTTAAGCTGACCTTTGCCTTCTTTGATGTGTTAATGATCTTCATGAAAGCAGAGCTATCACAAGAATCGTAGTTTTATCTGACTTTATTTTTTAGTCCTTTTGAAAGAACTTGAAACAGCTTTGAGATAGTAAGAAACGCATGTGATGAAAACACCCCATTGGGTTCTATAGTGGTTGCTAGCGTATGTGTTTCCTTTTCAAAGAATAATGGGAAACCCCAAAGACTGCTGGCAGCTGGGCGGCTTCTTTGACAACAGCCTGCGTGATCTGCTAGCCCACCCGTGGGTATTATGAGTGCTGAAGGCCAGGGAGGATGTGCCGGTTTCATGACCTAATTCCAGTCTTCAGGCCAATGCTGCCCTCTGCCCTGCTGTCTCTGAACTTGAAGATGTCTCCTTGCCCACTAAATTTGCTCAGAATGTGTAGCACCACCCAGTGCCTCCTAGTCCCCCTGGAAGGTGTGATGTTGGAGAGCGAGCCATAGTAGCTTTCTGATGTGGAGACAGCACAGGGTGTTAGACTTTTCTAAAGACAGAGAAGGAGCAGAGATGTACTCTGAGGAGTTGGCTCACACAATGATGGAAGCTGGAAATGCTGGAAATATAATCCCAGTTACTCTGATGGCCTTGGAACCGGAGGCGCTGTGGTTAAATCCCAGTCCAGGGGCAGTAGAAGACCATGTCCCTGCACATGCAGGCAGGAAGAAAAAAGGAGAGAATTCCTTCCTTCTCCCTTTCTGTCCTGTTCTTGTCCTCCGTGTACTGAATGGCACCCGCGCAAGTTGGAAGGACAGGCTACTCTCCTGTATTCACTAATTCCCATGTTAATCTCATCCCGAAACACCCTTGTGGATGTGCTCAGAAATAATCCTTAATCTCGGTATCTCGTGGTGCAGTCAGGCGGCACATAAAACTAACCAGCACAGACACCAAACTGGACTTCATACAAATTTAAATGTATGGCTTCTTACAAAAAAGGTTGACTTGTAACTAAATCTGAAGAATCAAGTGATCAAAGGATTTTTCAAAATCACCCAGGCCTGTGTTTCACAAAACATGGTTTGTATGCGTAAAATAGTTTTCTGTGGTTCAGTACAAGCATGTTTTGTTTTGTTTTGTTTTTTTTCTGGTACCGGGAATCGAACTCACAACCTTGTGCTTGCCAGGCAAGCACTGTGCCACTGAGCTAAATCCCCAGCCCCTTACAAGCATGTTTTAGTTGAATAATTCTGGTTTTCTTTAATGTTTGTTAGAAAAATAAGATAGCTAGTAATCAAACTTAGGATTTCCCTGAGATTTTTTTTTTTTTTTTACCTAAAAGGAAGCCAGTTAAAATAAAAAGCCAATTTAAAGAAAAGTATTACATAAGTAATTTAATCAGTAAAATATGTGGTACAGGAATATGCCAAAAGGCTTGGGAAATATTGATCTAGGTTTATTTGTTTCACTGTTTTATTGAGGTAGAATTCACACAGCATACATTAACCATGGTGAAGTGTGTGACTCAGTGGGGTTTAGTTCATTACCAGTATCGTCTGATCATCATTACCTCAGTCTTCGTTTGTTCTTTTTGGTTTATTTGTTTGAGACAGGGTCTCGTGATGTAGGTCAGTCCAGCCTCAAATTTGAAGCAGTCCTCCTGCCTCAGCCTCTTGATTGTTGGGATTACAGGCATGTGCCTCTATACCCAGCTTTACCTCTCTCTTCTTCCAGAACATTTTTATTACCTACAGAGGAAGGCCAGTACCTGTTGAGGAGTCTCCAAGCGTTTGACAACCACTGCTGTTTTTTGTCTCGTGGATTTGCCTGTTCTGGACATTTCATATGCATAAAATCATATGATACATGGCATTTCAGCTAGTATGTCTTTGAGGGTCACCCATGTTAGAGCACCTGTCAGCATTTTGTTCCTTTTTACAGCCAAATAGTACTCCATTGTATGGTCACGTTTATTAGTCAACAGAATTTTGAACCTCTTGACTGTAAGACGTGGGCTTATCAGCATCAATCAGTCCCTCAACCACTATCCCAGTGCTGGGACTTTAAAATATTTGCAGAATAAATGAATTTCCATCCGAGCTGCTTCTCAAGGGTTGGAGGGTGAATTGTGACCTCTGGAGGAGATAAATTGCTTTCAACACTGTAGCAACAGAGCCAGAGAGAGGTTAGCGTGCAGTGCACACTGAAATTGAAACCAGATTGCCTGGCTTCGAACCTGGGCTCCGCCGCTAACTGACCTAGACAAACTGCTTGGTCCTCCGTATCGCTTAGTTTTCCTTTCTATAAATGAGAGAACCTGACAGGGTGACTGTGAAGGTACAGTGTGTTAAAGTGTAAGTACCTGTAAGCATAGCTGCTGCACTGTAAGTGTTACACGTTGTCCGTATGATACGATTGCTTGCCATTGCTATTTAATTTTTATTTTCTATTTATTTTTTATTTATGACTCAGCAAATGATCATACCAAGTCAGAAGTGAGCTCACAGACTTGGAAACACAGCGTTTACTGATGAGACGTGCTAATCGACAGCAGATACCAGCTTTGGTTTCCCAAGAACGCTGGGAAATTACGTAGCTGCGTTTCCCAGTGCAGTAGCTTCCCTTGGCCTTGCGCCTGATGATTCTTACCGACTGCCCTGGGGATGCCTTTGCTGCGTTTCCCTTACTCTGTGTGCATCTTCGAACCCGAGAAGCCCAAATTGTATTTGCTGTGGGGTGTCTGCTCTGCTTCCTGTTAAAGTTTGTGCTCGTTTTAATTTTTTAATTTTTATTTTTACTAGTACAACTGCTTAATTTTTTGTTTGTTCAAGGGGTTTTTATTTTATTTATGTCGGTCCGCATTTGCAGTACATGATCACCTTCATTGTGGGAAGCTGGTACACACACAGCGCATATCTTAATTCACTTTTCTTCCCACCCCTCCTCTGTCTCTTGGTTCCCTTCCCTTTTGCAAGAGATCTATTGCCCTGTTTCCGGTTATCTGTCTTTTACTTTGCTCTTTAATTTATTTATACTTTGGGTTTCTCATAGAAGAGAAGCCATGCAATATTTGAGCTTGTGTTCTGATTTATTTCACTTAACAGTATGGCCATACCTTTTTTAAAAAGAAAATCTTTTCCCTTTCTCTGAAGAGGATGCTTTAATTCGTGTCCCATTTGCTTCAGTATGGGCTGGTCATGAGGCTACATATTCCTCCATTCATGTATAGAGAATCTGCTCTTGTTTATAAGGAGATGTGTCTGTAGCTCTGCTGAATCAGTGGTCACTAGGGGTGGGGAAGCAACTGATTTTTTGACTTTCTTTTTTCTGGCTTGAATAGACCAAATTTCTAACGGACAGATCAGCAAACTTTTTCCCCCTCTTCTTTCATTTCTGCACTAGTCTGAAGTTTCTTTAGCAGGAAACATTAAAGCGTGCATAATTATGGGGCAAAATGTCAAGCAGTCAGTTTAATTTGCTGATGAATACATGGAATTAATGTTTCGAAACAGTCCCAGGATTTCACATTATGAATTAGCAGGGGAAAGGTAATGTTTTGTTGACATTTGTTAACACTTGATTGCTTGTTTGGCTGTGTTCTGCCTGCAGGTGGATTTCGCCTTCACGGTGTGGCAGAGCTTCCCCGAGAGGATTGTGGGGTACCCTGCTCGCAGCCACTTCTGGGACAACTCTAAGGAGCGCTGGGGGTACACATCTAAGTGGACAAACGACTACTCCATGGTGTTGACAGGAGCTGCTATTTACCACAAGTGAGAGTTTAGACATCTGTCTTAGAGATTGTACAGAGCTCATGATTGCATGTGTTGAATCTTAGGTCAAATCTTGCTGACAACATTAACACAAATTAATCTGTATCCCTGCTTAAGTTTTGTTGATGTGGCAAACACGTGTTTTTTACATCAGTAAAACTTCTTGGCTTATTGCATTTTCAGAAATCATGGGAGAGCAGCATTTTCAGTTAAGCAGAAGCCTGAAGATGGACGCAGGGCTGTTAAGTAACTGAATATTGAGGATAATATTAATAAAAGTACTTAACTGAACAGCCCCAGTCGCTGTGAGAGTGCTTGGGATTCACCAGTGGGTACAACAGAGTAAATTCCTTGCCAATGCAGAGCCTGTGGTCTAACAAGGGAAGACACAGCATGCGTCATGATTATACAGGACGTTATAGCAGAAAGACAGAGGAGAGAGGAGCAGCAGCAGTAGCCGAGGTGGGGCAGGTTGGAGGAGGGCGGCTTCTCACTGAGCAGTAAGATATGGAAAGAAACCTGAGGGAGAAGAGGCTTACCTGCGATTGGTATGGGGACAGCTGGAACAGTGTTCTCGGAGAGGAGGAGCATGGAGAGGGAGAGAGAGCATGGCCAGAGTGGAGAGGGTGGAGGAGTTCGGAGAGGTCGTGAGCCCAGGCATACGAGGACTTGAGTGTTTCTCTGGGTCACCTGGGGAGACTGTAGAAGGATTAGGACAGAGGAGACAGCAGGGTTATGTTCCCAGCATCCTCTCTGGATGTTGTGTTGAGAACGGGCTACCAGGAGCAGGGGTAGAAGCAGGGAGACCAACTAAGAGGTGATTGGCGTTTTCTAGGCAGAAGGTGATGGAGCCTGGGACCAGGAGGTGAGTGACGGAAATGGTTACTAGTGACCAGATTGTGGACATATGCTGAGGATGTGTCAGCATGATAGCCTTCACATCGGGTGTAGAATTTGATGACTCCCTTGTTTGTTGACCTGATAGCTGGAAGGACAGTGTAGACATCACAGAGGTGGGGAAAGCTACAGATGCAACAAGTGTGGCAGAAAATACAGAAGTTCCATTTTGAGCATGTTAGGAGATCCAAGTGTGTGTGCTGAAAGCAGTCCTGGGCGGGCGTACAACTTGCACACTCATTTGCACATATTTGGTCTTGAGAGCCGGCAGACTGGAGTAAGATCGCAAGGCGCAATACAGTGAGTGTGGGGAGTTACTATTTCCCAGTCTGTCGTTAAGGAAACACCCAGTCTTTTGTCTTAGTAAAGTGGACACATGGATCATACCTTAGTCTTCTTTTTTAGCAAGCAAGAGAATCTGGAGATCTCTGATGTAGGCTTGGAGATGCCCAAGGTGTAAACATTTAGGCTGGCTGAATCTTGATCTCAGATTTCACCCCTTAAAAGTTCTGTGTTTCCCTTTACCCTGCCGCCACCACACAGATGAATCTGGATCAGTGAAATGATTTGTCTCAATTGGAGGTAATATAAATTGTCCTGTTGCCCAAGTAGTTTCTGGCCTGATATGAAAGTTAGACAGGCAAGCAATATCTGCATCTGTATGTATCTCTGTGCCTTGTTTAGTTACCTATAAAATGGGGATAATGCCACCTGCCTCTAGATTCCGTATGAGGATTAGGTAGGGCCTTCTTTCATAAAATACTTTTGAATATTATTAAGCAGATACACAGTACCATAAAAGTGATCGCTATCATCATTATCATCATTATGATTGCCAGGGCTGGGGATTTAGCTCAGCGGCAAAGCGCTTGCCTGGCAAGCGCAAGGTCGTGAGTTCGGTTCCCGGTACCGGAAAAAAAAAACAAAAAACAAAACAAAACAATCATTATGATTGCCACTGGCGACAACACTCAAGGATTCAAAGAATGCTTACTTGTGTACAGCCCACTTGTGATTATGTAACGGCGGCCCCTGTGTCACACCTCTTTGGTTTTCGCAGATATTATCACTACCTGTACACCCATTACCTGCCAGCCAGCCTGAAGAACATGGTGGACCAGCTGGCCAACTGTGAGGACATTCTCATGAACTTCCTGGTGTCTGCTGTGACAAAGTTGCCTCCAATCAAAGTGACCCAGAAGAAGCAGTATAAGGAGACAATGATGGGGCAGGTAAGGCAGCTCTTCCTGCTGTGCTGGCTGGCAGTCTAGCTCCCGAGAAGGAACACTGTGTTGGAACAGAAAGCGAAGATCCCTGTCGGGAGCACAGCACCTCGGGAGCTAGTGGTCGCCGCATGGACAGTTAGGAAGATGTCACAATCTATGCACTTAAGCTTTCACATAACCAGTAAGGTGACGTGAGAAAGACTCATTGTCAGTTAGGCTTTGTCTCTTTGGGCTACTGTAACAAAACAACACGGACATGTGGCTTCCACAGTAAACAGTTATTTCTCACAGTTCTGTAGACTGGAGAGTCAAAACCAAGGCACCAGCGGACTTCGTATGGGGCCAGGGCCTGCTTCCCAACTCATGGGCTTGCTGTGTCCTCATATGGAGGGATGAAGGTCAGGAAAGCTTCCTGGAGTCCCTTTCATAAGGGCTGCAGTGCCAGTCTGAAGATTCCACTCTTCTGACATCATTCCTCCCTGGCATTCCTGCGTACAGTGCCATCACGCTGAGCATTCAGCTTTAACACTTAAATTTGGGAGGGGCAAATATTTTGGTCTGCAGCAAAGTGAAAGACTTGCAAAGATTTGTATGTAAATGTATGTAAATGAGTCATAGGTGCCTTATTTAATGACTAGCAGACAACATTGTCTTCAATACAGGCTTCTCCTGGACACTTTTGAGTGAACGTGCATCTTAGTGAAATACCAGGAGTCACAGTATTGTTTTCAGATCTGGAACCAGCATTTATAAGACATAGGTAGGGGCTGGGGATTTAGCTCAGCGGCACAGCACCTGCCTGGCAAATGCAAAGTTGAGAGTTCGATTCCCGCTATCGGAAAAACAAAACAAAACAAACAAACAAAAAAATATGTAAGGCATAGGCAAGATGTTACCTTCTGAAATTCAGTCAGCTCATCTTCAGGAGGAACACGATGAAATCTGCCTTATGAGATTGAGTAATATGTCGGAAAGCTTTTAGAAGGAAAGTAAAATGTTTCACTGGGTCATAAAACTTTAGGACTAAAGATACTTTCAAGGAAATATAATCCAGCCCTTTCTTTTTATGCATTAGAAAACCAGGGCCTAGGGAACTGAACAGTATCGCCACAAGTCACCCATGACGTGAGGGGCAGACGTGAGGGGCAGATGTGAGAACTGGCTCCCAGGCTGTGCTTGTGGTACTGCTGGCTTTCCTGGGGTCCTGATATTGATGCATCAGGCAGGGTCTGGGAGGCTAGGGGCCCTCTCAGGAAGAGACGCTCTATCTACCTCCCTGGCGCTGTGCCCTTGCTCTAGCAAGGATGCAGGAGTTGAGGTGAGGCTGACTCAAACCGAAGATCCCCCTGGTATAGAATGAGGAGCTCAGAAAATGGAAGCATTCCAAAGCTGGAGCTTTCCTTGTAGTATTGCAGAGGTGGGGATCGTGCCAGACAGCAAACTATGGCAGGGGGAAGCTTGGGAGATGAGCTTTTCAGCCTGGGGCCTTTGACTTGCCCGTACTCACAGAGTGAAGTTAATCCTTAAAAATAACTGTTTCACTGGTTGGTTTAATTTAAGTCAACTAGGGTCTTAGCCTTTGTTTCTGGGGTGAGCTAAGGTTCAAGGGGTCCAGGGTCATACGGCAACTGTATGCAAAGGTCCTGCAAAAAGCACCTTCCCTAACTTCATCTCGCTTAGTAAGCATGCGGTCACCCTATCATTTCCACCACATCAGTCACCCAGCTCATGTCCTGTGTTGCCTGTTGTCCCCTAACTTACCCTACAGTATCAAGCCGACCCGAATACGCTGAAGTTCTTCTATTGTTACTCTTCTTGGGCAGACCCAATACTCTATGTAAGAAATCAAAATACTTAAGTAAGACCATTAGATCTACCCAGTTGAAATCAGGAAGCATCTGACGGGATTGGCATCAGCGTTGGTGAACATGCTTAACATCATTGCGTCAGTTCAATTTTGGGGGCTTTGTGTGTGCCTTGCTCTGACAATTTTTGTTTATTTGTTTTGTTTTTCTTCCAGTACCAGGAGTCGAACTCAGGACCTTGTGCTTGCCAGGCAGGCACTTTGCCGCTGAGCTAAATCCCCAGCCCTGCTCTGACAATTTATGTTGAGAATCATACACAGATCTAGGTTTCTCAGGAAAAACCTAGCTCTCTCTCACACTACCGCCACTCATAATTTTCCATTTGCAAAATTTAGCAGGAGCAAAAAATGGACAGGATTTTCAGTTTATGAAATTTAGTTAGCGAGTATTTACTGAGCGCTGGCAGACTGTCAGGCACTGATGTAGGTACTGGTTCTGAAGAAAGAGCCGTCCTTAGCACATAAAAGGTCTTGTGGAAAATTCCATTTCCTTGTAATTACCGCAGAACAGGCAAGAGGATTTGCAAGAATTTTTCATCTTTAAGGCTAAGAGACTACTCCGTCTAAGCAACATGTATTGTGCACTCTCTGCCCAGAAATTTTTGTGCCTGTGATCTCACTTAAAGTCCCAGCATGCCTTTGATAGTTTACTCAGAAAGTTCCCCACGCTTCCCTGGGGGTATGCAGTATACCCACAAAGGGTGGAGTTCTAGTAGCACTTGATTTCATTGGGTTGGTTTGTGTGTCCTTTCAAAAAATTTACCTAGTTCTCCTGAAGCAGTATTTCAGTAACTTCTCACATCTTTTGGGGACAAATCTAAATTTCATCTTCGGTTCAGCTAGACGTAGCCAGGCACGGTGGTTGCCCTTGCTTCTCCAGCCACGAGTTTACCAAGTGTTCGTCCCTACGACTGGTGGAACAAATGGATGTCCTGCTCTAAGATTATGCTTTTATTATGTAGGGAAGACGTCTTTCCTAACATATGTTGATTGATCCAGAGTAAATGTTAAAATTCAGAGGCAAAGAGATACTTGAATGTTCAATCACCTGGACTTTAAAAAAAAAATGGTGAGCAAAAATAAGAATGAGCTGAGGCTCTTGACAGTGTTTCCCTTTGCATTTGCGAGCACTTTTGCGGGGTGTGGGGGTCTGGCCCTTTGAAATGGCCCGCAAACCCCTATCAGTTTAGAGATACCCGTGAGACCATCTTCTCTGATATGAACTTCACCAGTCAGCTTAATGTCCACCTCTCCCACATGCACCAAGTAGAGCTCTCCTAGTGTAAATGCTAAGGGATGAAACCTAAGCTCTATCTCTTTCTACCCTTAAGCAAATAACTTCCTTTTCTACAAAAGCAGGTGCCCTTGCCTGGGTAGATCCTTTCTCTCTGATGTCGCAAGGCTCAAATAAGCTTTCTGAACACACTCGGCAAATAACATTTTATTATTCAGCTGCTCAGGAGTAACTTGACATTTGTAATTTATCTCTGATGTTATGGTCAAGCATTTTGACACTGGTGATTTTAAAGTGACTCCTAGTGATTCTTATACTGAAACATACCTGTCCATGAGAATACGTTTCTCAGAATGCATAAGGACGAAATGTATTGGACACACACATGCATCAATAAAGAATTGCTTATTTACCTAAATGGGTTTGTGGGCTTTTCCCCTGTAATTGGACAACCCATCTTTTTTCTTATTTCATAAAAACTTGGTTTTAAAGACAATATGTTGAGTTCTGTTGAAATTTCAACACTTAACATCATTTAAGGCTTTTTTTTAATCAGTGCCAATCATTTTCACAGCATAGAAGCATTTAAGCACCCCCTAGGAGCAGCGTAGAAGGCTGAAAGATAGTAGCTGTCTTTTCCACTTAGCCAGAGTAAATCTTTCTTCCTATCCATGGTGAACACTCACTCTGTATAGAATCATCTCTCCTTTGAAAATTAATCTTCGGGCATTTTAGTAGAGTAGAAAATGCAACAATTCTTGAATTAAGAGAATGGAATTTTGAGATCTTAGTGGATAGTCATATAAATGTGTACCTTATATATCACTGAATCCATTTTCTTATATTTCATGGAGGTCGCCTCAGTAAAGAAGTTTATAGGATAGGAGAAGGAAATTTTAGATGCTATATAATACTGCCCTTGAATGAAAGGTAAGGGTTTGATTTGTTCCCCTTTACCTGTACATGTGACCTTTTAACAAAGGATTCAGTGAAATCTTTATAAAGGCAAAGAGCTAAAAGGGAGGAAGAGATGGTCAGAAGACAGAATTCTGACAGTTGATTATGGATATTTCAAAATCAGTCAGGTTAACAAAAATAATTTAGAAAACCATCTTTGAAGGCAGAAATATATTGATAGTCATGGTATTGGTGCAAAAAAAGATACATAGTTAGTGTCCATAATAACTGAGACTCACATCATTCACTGAGAAGAGAATTAATCCACTCAGAGAAGTGTGTTTTTAAAAATTTTTATTTATATTGATACATGTTTTGTAATTAGTATGCATATTAGTTAAGATTACAGTCATCATAAGGGGTTGATATGGGTACATAACACATCTATGAGGAACAAAGTCTAAACAAATTGCAGAGCAAAATGAAAAATAGATACTAGGAAGTGGCGAGCTAAATCCTTTGCAGATAGATGTGTTTTTAACATTGAGGAACTTCGCGTGTCACGGGAAAACCTTTGTGTGAGGCTAAAAACAGCATCCATGGCCCTCCCGTCACCAGTCACGTGACTGGTGGGGTTTGGTGACCTGACTCGGTTTCCTGCGTTGTTTCTCACTTGTCCTCTTGTCTCTGTCCTTCTCCCTAGACTTCTCGGGCTTCCCGCTGGGCTGACCCCGATCACTTTGCCCAGCGACAGAGCTGCATGAACACGTTTGCCAGCTGGTTTGGCTACATGCCGCTGATCCACTCTCAGATGAGGCTCGACCCCGTGCTCTTTAAAGACCAGGTCTCCATCCTGAGGAAGAAATACCGAGACATTGAGCGGCTTTGAGGCATCTGGCCAAGTGGGGTTGGGGAAGTGAGAAGGGACGGGGCTTCAGCTGCTCTCTCTTCCCGTGCAGATCCACTCGTCAGCGGAGCCAGATTGTGCCAAGTATCCAAATAAACTTAGAGAAACATACTGACAAAACAAAAGAACGGCCAATGAGAGCTCGACTCCTGGCTCCTGAGACTGCATTGGACTGCTCCAACGCACCTCTGGCTTCTGTGTCCCAAGACTAGGTTGTGTACAGTTTAATTATGGAACATTAAATAATTATTTTTGAAATGATTGCTATGCAGGTTTAAACTTTTTTAATGATCAAAACTATTAAAAACCAGAGTTCTTTCTTTAATCAAAATGGTGTTGGTCGTGAGTATTTCAAAGCTGCCACTCCTCTTCCCACAGATACCATTGCCATCGGTTGCGCAGGGTTTCCCGCCAGACAAAAGCTCAGGCTCCATGGGAAACACAATAAGTCACTCCACCTGGTGTTGAGAAATAGCTGAGCGTACATTAAGACCAGTGCATTGTGCCGCCCTGCCAGTCAAACTGCTTTCCAATCTGAATTTTCCAATCCACTTCAACTTTTTATCTCTAAAATGTTGCTGCATGTGAGAAAGTATGATGACTTTCAGGTAGGCAGTTCTAGTTGAAAACTTTATGTTTGAGATAGAGATAATCTTTTCTCATTGGGGGTGGGGGGAATTAGTATCAGGCAAACTCTAGGATAATTAAGAGGTACATGTTCAGTTTGCACAAAGAACCATCTGACAGCCGACCAGCATGTCAGTGAGATGGTGATGTTGACCCTCAGCGGTAACTCATCGCTTTGACTAGAAGATAGATCCAACCACTGAAGTATATCTGATGAGGGAAAGGCTTTTACTAAGAGACGGACAGAAAGTGGGTGTGTGGGGGGGAACAGATTGTAAGACCAGTTCTTTACTCTTTGTGGAGACCTCAAATTTTGAAAGTGTCTTTGTTGAAAAAAAAAAAATGTGTAAATTCACATCATTGAACAAGAGAATTCCTATGAATATCTGAGGGTGTCCCTCCCCAGGGGACTCCAATACCATTTTGGGTTAAATATTGTTTTAAGCAAAAATTGGCTAAGACAAAAATAACGGAAGCAAATGGGAGAACTTTTTAATTTCATTTCAAGTTTTAAATGTGTAGGAGACGTTTAGTTGTGTTTCTTGTTAAAAAGAATATTTTTATTCCCACAAATGCCACGCTGAGCTTATGGTTGCTGTGAAACTGCAAGAAAAACACATAAAACCCCCACAAACCATACCCTTAGCTCCGTTATAAAACAAAAGGGAGACTTCTGATGCTTTCTTCTGCTTGGAAGAAGCAAGAGAACAGAGACTAGAAAGATTATTAGATCTTTGCACCTGTTATGCAGAATAGATAATAAGCACTTTAATCTTTCCCCACCAAATCTCATACATTTATTTCCAGTTTTGTTTTAGAAGAACTGATCACAGCGTTATGTTCCAATAACTTTAAAGCCCCTGGCTGAGGTCAGTGGAAACAAAAGTGCAGTAGCCTCTAATTCATGCTTCCTGGGTAGACATCTGCGAGCGAAGGAGGAAGTTGCAGCGATAACCCTGAGGGGCTGCCGTGATTAGGAGTAAAGCAGGTGTTTGCAAAGGCCGGGAATGCTGGTTCCATGGGTGGTTGGCAGCGGGGCAAAGACCAGAGGCCGCATGTCCAGATGCCGTGTTGTGAGTGGTACACACGCAATGTGGCTCCATTAAAAGAGGCTCTCGTGCAGCCTTGTGACTCAGAACAGCTCCCTCAATATCTCTCATCCAGTTCAACCCCTCCTTTGCCCACACTGTCAGGCGTGTGGCATTATTCCTTAAGCCGATGTGATATTCTCTTATGTAGTTGTTGAAAAATAGCTTGTAGGTCCCGACCTTGCACTCGTGCTTTTCTATAAAATGCCCCAATATTTTCATGTCATTTAAACTGCAGTTCTCAGCATGTTAAAGGGTTAACAACCCTTATTCATCTGCCCTTTGCAAATTCATATTTATTTTCAGGATTGGAAGTCTTAAGTCTTTCTCTTTTACAGAAAAGAATGCAGTATTTGCTTTAGCAGTCCCAAACCAACTTGAAACTTGTCATCTTGGCCTGCGAAGCAGTGTCCCAAATTGTACCAGTCAGTCCCATGAGTGGCTTCAAGGACAGATTGACCTGTCAAAGCTGATAGAGCAGATAGTCCCCACAAACAATGTGTTACGTGGAAGAAATATGGTAATTGTAAATGAGATCATCTGACACACTTTCCCTCTATGTAAATCTCCGTGATTTCATTTTATGTCATTCTCTGAGTACATCTCTTTGGGATGCTGGCTAGCATGTTCTTCTCACATTTGAAGTAGCAGCTGGGAATTGAACAATGTAAGCAGATCAGTGAGGCCCAACAGTAAGATATAATTTTAATTCTCTTAGGAAAGAGTTGTGTGTTGCATTGCAGCAAGTTGACAAATCATGGCTGCTGCCGTTGGATGTCAGGAGTTATCTCTTAGCCAACTTTAGTGATAATCAGAGGTCTCTAAGGGGGCTGACATATGCTGAGTTGGTAAGATGCCAAGGGCAGAGACTGTAGTACCAACCACTTAATGAATTACATGGAGGACTCAACACTCAGGATTTCCACAGCTTTCTCCAGTTACACATTAGGACGTGCGGTCTTAAATATAATCCTTTAATGCTGGCTATGTATTTGTATGAAAATCTTAAATATTAAAGCTTACATGTACATTAAACATTAAGCACATCACCTTTGTTACAAATAAAATGGCAAAGTTGAGACTGTAAGAGAAAACCCATGCAATCATGACTGCAGTCATGTCACAAAAGATGACAGAAGCTAGGCTGGGCACACTTGGGGCTATTAGCACACTTTCTAGAGGTGATGCTTTAGGAGAAAGGAAAAAATTCATACCTGGGATCTTCCATGCATTACAGTTTAATTTCTTCTTGTTACAAATGGTGCTCAAAGAAGGATCAATCCTGGTTGCTTCCTTCAATTTCCCTTTTGGAATGATTTTTGGTTTTCATTACAGTAGGCTATGTTAGCCTTTATTTTGGTGATTTTCAAAATCCTGGTCACTTGAAGGACTATTTCACCAGTGGCCTTTCATAAAGGCTACCGAACCTTAATTTAATCAGGGTGAGATAAATGGAGTGAACGAACTGACATACTGTTTAGGAAGAAGTAAGCAGCATGCTTAAGAACAAGTGAAATTTTAATCAAACCTGTTTAAAGGGCAAGCAAAGGCAGAAAACCTCATCATCAAGTTAGAATCTGAATGAGCCTCCTGCAAGCAAAAGGGGAGCCAAACTTTCTAGACCTGTAAGTGGCTTATACTCCGTTGGGTCCCTGAGAACTCCACTTCTGAGTACCAGTTTTTGCTGTTATTGCCGTAAACCTGCAAATTTAAATGTCCCTACCATTGAATAGTTAATACGTCAGAATGCAGCCAGTATATCAGGCTCCGGTGCTGAATTCCTCTACCTACTTTCAATTTGTGGTACCCAAGGGCAGGAACCGTGCAGATGCTGCTTCCGTCTTGGCCAGATTTAACCTAGAGAGTCCTTTCACTGTAGGCCTAATTCTCTCAGCACGCTGCATGGGAGCAAAGTTGGTTTGTGTTTATTTACCAATGAATAAGCATGACTCTCAGACTGCATTAAACCTGCCTTGCTTGCTATGTAAAATTCAGGGTGTAGCGATTAGATTATTCCTTGATGTCAAGTTTCTTAAAGAGGGGTGGGGATGGTATATAAAGCATCTTGTACAAGTCCTCTCCTCTCGATTCAGTAATGCTGTTCAAGAGCTCTGAGTAGAAAACTTGTTATTTGCACCATACTTTGATAGTAAAGAAAAAGGACTCCTGGAAGCCATCTCTCATTTTCTGTGCTTTCCAAAACTCAAAAGATTTTGTTCCCATAATTTTTCCTTCTCTGGGTCTGTAGTTCTCACTAATCTGGAATTCCAATGTGCTCCACCTCGGGAGGCTATGTGAGGTACCCAAAAGCACAGACCAGCACAGTCTCACCTTGTTTAAAATCAAATCAAGCTAGGCTTTCAGTCACTCTATAACAGTTTGCCTTTGAGACCTCACAAGTCATTTATTTTCTGCAGTAGTTTTCTGTTCTCCTCCTACAGGACCACATTCCTTTCTTTTTGCTTGTAATTCCACTAAAATTAGGGTCATACAAACAGCCTGTTTACCATGTAATGAACCTGTATATTTATTTTGAGAGAAAAATATGTATAGGATATGTTGAGGGGTAGAAAGAAAGACGTCTAAAACTGGAACTATTTTAGGTGGCAAATTGTAAAGCAAAAAAAAATAGTATACTTATTTTGTATACAATGTACATTTGGGACAGAGTTTTCTAATATGTTGCCAATGTTTTTGTACTGTCACCACAGGTCTTTTCTGAAGTGTTTTCCCCATTTGTTATAGACTATTCATGATTTAGTGCAACTAAGCCCAGAAGTGTGTATGAGAGAGTGTGCAAGAAATTACAAAGCCATAGATCTTGATTTACTTCACTGGCCTGTGTAACTTTATGTCTGGGTTTTACCATCCAAGATAGATTGTTTTATAGAGTGTCACCAAAGACTTTTTCCTTCCAATTTATAGAAGAAAAAATTATTAATAAATGACATGACTTTTCATCTGTGTGGTTTTCATTCTATCTTTTCTGTTGACTTCAGAAGGATGTCAGGGCCCCCGGAGGATGCTGTGTGCTGGGAAAGCTAAAGCCTCCCTGGGGTTCTGGGGGAGACAGGCAGCTCAGGTTGGACCAAGGGTGCTGAGGGGAGGTCCAATTCCTGCAGCCTGGCTGCCTCCCAGAGCTCAGCCTCGTGGGCAGCGCGAGGCCGCCAGCATGAGCCATCTTCCAGGCCAGATGCAGCTGGTGCTGTTGGGAGTGGGCCAGGGGCAGCGGTGGTGGTATGCCAGTTCTCAGCCTTCCTCCACACGGATGCTGGGCACAGTGGCAGGGCCAGGCCCCAAAGCATCTGGAGCCTGACAGCTGTGACCATTACCCCCCTGGGTTTCAACTACTGCCTGGAGCTCATGAATTACTGGCTGGCGAAGTGTTTATTAGACTGGCATTTCTCAAAAGAATTTATAAATGGCTCCAGGTGCGTTGCAGGTCCATGATTCAGGGCCTGTGTAGGAAGGTTTTTAACAGCAATGAACCGCTTCTTCATATTCCTCTCCTTTCCTCCTTCCTCCCTGCCTTCCACTCCTGTTGTACCTCCTCCCCATCTCTGTTACTTGCAACCCTTTATCTTTGGAAATTTTTACAGAAAGGACATGTCACCAA